AATCCTCCCTGGAAGGCAGCAATGCAACTAGCAAAGCAAAGGATGGACGTCACAGGAGTTAAACGAAATTAATGCTGATTAGAAGACAGGCTTTAAAGAGAAGGTAAAACCACCTTACAAATAGAAAAGAAGATTACAGGACTACTTTTTTTTCCTGGAGCCCCAAGACAGGTCTCACAGATTAGGTGGATAATCCCATCCCCTATTTTTAGCAGGCTCTTCACAAACCTCCCATTCCCCCTTCCACTCTTCCCAACTCTCTCTGGTTGGCAGAGCTGATCATGTCACCAGAAAACCCCACCTGGCAAAGCTACTAATGCCCAAAGGAGACACTGGGGACTGCCTAGTTAAGCCCCAACGCTTAATTAGACCACGCACAACCCTAGCAGGGCCCAGCAGCAAGGAGCTCCCTCCTGCTTCAGCAACATCCACCCAGCGCTGCCCTTCACATGCGGGTGGCAGTTTCTTTCCTCTCTTAAAAGTGCTGCTAAAACACGATCAGGGTGTCCCCACGCAGCCGCAGGGCGCATCCTTGGCAGGGACCATGAAACGGTCTTCTTCCTGGAGGCAGTTATTCCCAAAAAACGCTACTTAGGCCCTTCCGTTGACGCTGCCAAAGGGAGAAGGAGAAGTGTCGGCTCAAGGTCACTGCAGAAATGACTGCAGCCCAAGTCACGGGTGACAGAAAAGCTGCCTAACGGGAAAGCCGGAGCAGCTCGGGTGACCAGCAGGTTGCAGGGGAGCCCCTGCCCTTTCCATCCGTCTGGGCAAGCTTTGGGGTGTGGAGGGGAGCCGGACACAGCGATGCTTCCCGGGCGCCCTGCGGCCCGCTCGTCCCTGCTTGCACGAGTCAGCACATTTCCAACCCAGTGCGTTTCTGTGATCCTTGGGTCCCCCAGGGCACCCAATTTTGTCCTGGTCCAATTCAGGCGACTGGGGGGGTGCCCTGAGCTTGGTGCACCCAGTACAGCCATCAGGTCAGCCCAACCCAACTCCAGCACGGCCATCAGGTCAACCTGGCCCAACCCTGGCACAGGCACCACATCAACCTGCCTCACTACAGCCACATCAACCCAGCCCAACACCAGCAGGGCCATCAGGTCAACCAACCCCAATGTCAGTGTGGTCACGAGGTCAACCCAACGCAGGTGGGGCCACCATGCCAACCTTCCTGAGGCCAGCCACCACATCAACCCACTCCAACCCTACTGCAGTTATCAAGACAACCCAGCTGAACTCCAGCGCAGTCACCAGGTCAACCTGCCCCCAACCCCGGCACAGCCACCACATCAACCTGCCTCAGTGTGACCAAGTCAACCAGCCCAACCTCAGCATGGCCATCAGGTCAACCCACTCCAACCCCGGAACGGCCACCACATCAACCTGCTGCCGTCTGGGCACACCAACCTCCCCCACTCCCACTAAGGCCATCAGGTCAACCTGCCCCAACCCCAGCACAGCCACCATGTCAACCCAGCCCAATC